TAGTATGTATGTTGCTTCTTGTTATCAATGACTATTTCTGTTACTGTTTTCTTTGTTTTTTACGAGTTTTCTTAATTTCTTTTATTTTTCATGGTATTTGGTATATGTACAGAATGTCCCGTTTTCTTTAAGTGTTCAAATAATTTATTTTTACTTGAAAATTCAGATTTACATGTTATACAACAATGTGCCAAATCTGGAACCTCAGTTATCTGTGAGCCTTTTTTATGCTTACTTCCACACTCCTTTTCTGCTTGTTTATTAATTTTTTTGGAATTCTTAGATTTTTTAGATTTGACCTTACTATTGTTTATAGTATTTATGTCTAAATTATCCGAGTGTAATTCAACTACATCTATTCCACTTTTTGCTTGTTCCTCAGTATCTTCTAATTTATCATTAGGCTTCTGTTGACTAGCTTCTAAAACTTTATTTAGTACTGCTATTTTATGTTGCTGCTTTTTACGTTGTTTCTTTGATAAAAATATATCCACATTGACATGTCTGTCTTCTTCATCACTAGTATCCTCTGTTAGTGGATTTTGAACATTCTTCTTTTGTTTCTTCTTTTTCTTTAATTTTTTAGGTTGTGAAACTTCCTCTTCTTCTTGATCAGAAATGAGTTCATCTTCCGAAGTTGCACATTCATTATCGCTTTCATTTATTTGAGGTATTACATAAAAAGCATCATCCATTTGTGGTTCTACAGCTAAAGTTATTCCTTCTTGACTAACATCACTATCTTCAAAGGTTTCAAATTCTTTGTCATCTTCTTCCAGAGATATTTTCATTGCAATAACATTATCTTTGTGCTTTTTAGAATTTTCATGATTTATAAAGGATTTTTGAGTTTTAAATCTTTTGTTACAAGCTACACAATACAAAGTACTATCACCTACTGCATTCTCATCATCTGTGTCCTCTTCAGAAGATAAACTTTCACCAAATTCTTTAGCAAGATGAGCTTCAATAGTTTTAAGCTCAGCTTCTATATTTGAAAACTTAGTCCATTCACATTCTTTATATTCTCCCAATTGCTTTTGTCTTTCTAATAGTTGTTGTCTTACTCTTCCTTGTGCTTTCTTTAAATTCTCTTTAGCGCGTTCAGCAAGTTTTAAAGCATGAGCCTGTACTCGTTTGTCACGTTTACGGACAAAGGCAACTAAATTTCGTACTTGTTCATTTCTTTCTCTTTTAGCTTTTTCTCTAATTTTTTTATTCTCTTTTTCAATAAGTCGAACAACACGTCTGTTTGGAGCACCTCTTATATCATAAGGATCTAACCAAGCAAAGGATTTTTTTGTATTATAACTTTGCCAATATGCATAAAAATTATGTACAACTTCTTCGTATGAACTTTGTGAACTCCCAAAGTGTGGAATTTCTTCATCCGAATCTCCTTCTTTAGCAAACTCTGCATCTTCAGTTGTTAATTTGTCAAAAACGTTACGATAAATGGCATAAAATCCTTTTTCATCGTCACCATATCCTTTGAAGCACGTAGTTGAGAAAAATGGTGTCAGATCAATAGAATCATCTTTGTAATCTTCCCCAATACCACCCTTTAAAATAGCTTCACGGTGATCATCATACCAAGTACGTGCATGTGGATCACTTAACACTTCCCATGCCTGTTGAACAAGTTGAAACTGTTCTTTTGCCTCTTCTGGATTACCTAAATTTTTGTCTGGATGCCATTTTAATGCTAATTTTCTGTAGGACCTTTTTAAATCATCATCAGTAGCATTTCGTGCTACCTCTAACACCTCATAATAACATTTCATTGTAATAATGAATATTTTCTATCCACGTTGTTAAAACTTGTGTAATCTGATGTGATATAAAACCAAATAAATCACATGCTAAAAGAAATAAGATTAACTCTTCAAAAACAAGAAAAATGTTCATGTTATAACATACATACTTATCTAATAAAAATTTCTTTTTTTAAACCTTACCAAATCTTACATATACATAATATGAAACGTATTTATATTAATAGATCAAAGAAATGTCTTACCAAATGTTACTTAGCAATAATTGTCCAATTATAATTTAATTACTTTTATTGGAAATTTCATAAAACAAGAAAATTAGTTCCAATAATTTTCTAGTACAACCATATTCTACAAAGTTACGTTTAAAATTTTAGGTTATACATATGACACATAAGTAGTGACCTCCACAACAGGGTTAGGAGCCCCTCACCTGCTGGCTTCGCCCATTCTCCTTCCAAACGCTCTTTTACCGAACTGGCTAAAGATACAGTGATACGTACCTATTCTCCGTTAGCGAGAATAGGAGTAGAAATTGCTTTGGTTTGATTGGCTGATGATTTAATGTTAAGACAAAATTTACTGCGGATTGGGAGTTAGAGAGGAAGGAAGAAAAAACGTGTATAACCTGAGGTAATATTACTGTACAATGTATGTATGTATATGTACATATGTATTTCCCTTAGGCCATAATGTACGAATATTGTACTACTCGTAGCCATGGTCTAAGACAGAGCTCGGAATTAACCAGCACGTAATGTGAGGCTCGCGAAGGCTATGCCTCCTGATTTCGGTTGCGCGACTCGCTCCCGGTGGTCGTCACCTTCGGCTCAGAGCACCTCAGGCGTGCATGCTGTTGCTTTATATGTGTGAGTGTAGGTGAGGTGTGTGCGCGCGTGTGTGTTAGGCGATCACTGGTGAGCGAGACGCGTGACGGGAGTCAAGAGGCGTAGCCTTCGCGATCCTTACGTTGTGTGCTGGTTAATTCCGAGCTCTGCTCTAAGGTACTACTAGACACGGCATCAGTATAATGCGTGACATCAGAATTAAATCACATTATACAATTAATTAAAATAATATGTTTCCATTATTGTAACATCCAATTGTATTATGCGAAGAAAGAATTTACATAAAAATAACAATAGGATAAGAAGCAAACTGATGAAAACTATTTTATTTGCTAATCAGTAATTATAAATAAATTGCATATCTCCAGACATCTATGTATTGTTCTTATTACTCAATTAAATTAAGATAAATTATAAAAAAAATTGCAGATTGAACATTTATTAACATATCAATTAAACTTTAAATTCATTCTGTGAAATTATAATTTTCAAAATATGCATATTTCATATTTAATCAATTTAATTTGCTTTCTATAAATTAAACACTTTCGCATATTCGTTAATGTCGAACATTAAAACAATTTAACACGTTTGGGACATCGCTGTGTTACTCTTTTGAAATTGCAGATATGTACATATATCATACTATCATAACTTATACATCTTGTTTATTCTGATGTTACGTAGATGTTTTCATCTTTGCTTCAGGAAAATTATCTAAAACCATATCTATAGGTACATATTTCCTAAGTCCGTACCTCAGCCCGATAACAGCGTCGGAAACCGTGCTACTATCGCGCCCTCTCTTCTAATCAGAACGCGCGGCGCTTCATTTGTTTTAAGTGTTATGTACATATGTACTTTTATTCACATTCTCATTGCTAGCTTCCTACTGCTATCGCTTTAGCTATTGCTAATTGTCGTTATTCTGTCTGTAAAGGTGTGAATGCACCAGCAAATAACTTACGACATTTTGTCAAATGTTGCTAGAACTCATTACAATAATTCTGCAATAATTTCAAAAGCGTTTATACACGTCTCGAGAATCATTTTCGTAAAAAAAAGTTGCAAGTTACTTGCTAGTGTATTCGTTTGTTTAATAATTTTTAATTTGATTAATAAAGCTGTTCGGTTTTAACATTTTTTGTTATTAATATAGCCTCCTTAAACATTATGCATTTTTAGTTTCATATTTTGAAGTAAAATCTCGGTACAATTTATCTTGACGATAAAATGAGAGTATTTTTTATTAAATATAGCAAGATGTTCTTCTGTAATGAAATTATTAGCCACGTGAATCGCGATAATGGATGACGTATTCCTGTGCAAAAGTTTTTTAAATACCACTTGACGAAGTACGCATGTTCTCCACGTGATTTTTTCAACTGTAATTATCTTAACGTTATAATGGAGATTTCCATCTGAAATTATTTAGTTTTTACAATAAAGATATCTAAATAAAACTAAATACATATGTATATTTTACCTCTGTCTTACGTTATATCGAGTGAGACGATTTTACTAGGGACCTTTTGACGTGGAACAGCTGATTGTATGCGTTATTCATCTGACTATTCTCAACATCAAGATGGCTGCGGTCGTGAGACTGCAGTAAGGGTTGTAAATTTTTGGCATATATCGCCAGTTACGACGTTTGGAACCATTGTCATTAACATTCAGTATTTTCGGTAAATATTTCTGTGCCTTATTATATAGAACATGCATTGGTTTGTTGAAGTAACTGCATATAAACGCAATAAAATCGAAACTCTGCAGATTATCAGTGACATCTCGTGAATGTGATGTAGCAGACGGCTCTAATTGCTTTTAATAGCTTTTCTTCGAGATCCTTAGTGTATCGCGTCGTTGCGATGGACTTTGTGATAGATATTTGTCAAGCTGTTTTTGCTACGGAAGAAGATTTGATTTGTTATCAACGAAAATACCTGCTGTTAATATCCATGTAACACTGATTATTCTTCGACTACTCTATAACAAGGTTTTGTCATTTATTTATTACGGCATTATTTTGATTGCATTGTCGGTAGATAGCCTAAGTTGAGTTACATTTCATTAAATTTCTGTTGTTTTATGTGTCGTAAGTAAAATATATTTTCAATCAGAATTTGTATCATTATACTTTTACAGTTGATACATGTCTTTTTCCTGTATGCTGTGTTTTTATATTGTTATAATAAACAATTTTTGGATTAAGAGATAGATTGATAAGATGTAATTCATGAGAGAAAATACGATGCTTATAACATTAATTTGAAAAAATAATATATCATCTGAAAATATGAATATTAACATAAATATAAAAACAAACATTATATAATACAATTAACATAAATCATAACAATTTTTTATATTTATGAAATATTAGTAATGAAACTATGAAATTATTTTTATCAAACATAGAAGTAATTATATATTATTTTAGTTTTAGTATATAATTAATATAGTTTTTATAAAAATTATAGGTTGAATATTAAAAATGACAGTGGGTACAAGCTTGGTAGTACCTATAGTTCTATGGGGTCGTATAGCTCCAACTCATTGCATTTCATGTATTTATTTATCTCGAGATCAAAAAACTTTGATAACAGGATGTTATGATGGTCAAATATGCCTGTGGCAAGTAGATCCTGAAATATTAAAGGTAAACAACTATATTTCAATTATTGAAACTGAAGAGTTTTATTAGAAACATAATAATAAGACATAGATTATATATTAAGATGACTCCAAGATGTTTACTTGTTGGTCACACGGCTCCAATAATGTGCCTCAGTCGAGCCAGTGTTATTATGGAACAGAATTACATTGTTAGTAGCAGCGAAAGTGGAGAAATGTGTACTTGGGATTTAGTTGATGGAAAATGCAGAGAAGCTGTGAAACTTAGCAGTGTTCATACACAAATGTTGCCTTACGTCTCTGCTGGAGGAGAAGATGTTAGACTTTTCTGTTCTGGGTACATATAATTTTTATATAATATTCTTGCACAAATGTTTTTATATTTGTCAATAATAATATGTTTTATTTATTATTTCAGTTATTATCCTGAGGTTTTAGTGATGGACCCCTTTAGTTTGGAAGTTCTATTTACCCTGTGTTCGCGAGTTAATCCTGATTGGATCAGTGCATTGCACGTTCTGCGGCCGGCCAAACGGAAAGGTCGGTTCTACGTGCATACAAGTTAGTTACACTCCATCACACCTACGCTTTTTACCATAAGCTGCGACCTCTTCTCTCTCTCTCTCTCTCTCTCTCTCTCTCTCTCTCTCTCTTTCTCTTTCTCTAATATAAATATATATACATACAGGGTTGTCTGTGCAATTGTTTCAAGTCATAACTCTATTATTAATGCATTTATGAAAAAATGCCAAAGAAGGAAGATAAATAGTTCAAAGAGCAGTTCATCTGTAGGCCCTTAGATTTTTGTTAAGTGCCTCAGTGCATATGCAATTAACAATTGCAGTATTTCTGTAAATGGAAATGCATATTTTTTATTCCACAGATTGATTTCCCTGTTCATTCTATGTCAAAAAGTATTAGAAGTATAATTTACGAAGCTTTGTTCAAGAAGATGCTCAAACGTTTCTCCATTATATTATAAACATTTCTCATAACGTTTTTTATAGTTTTCATAACTACGTTTAAATTTTCTGTAGTTATTGCTGCACTCCTCAGAATTTATTCAAATCCTGTAAATTCTGCGAAGGATCTGAGAGAATGGATCACACCGGAATGTGCAACAATAACGGCAGATAATTTAAATGTGATTATAAAAACAATTAAAGAAATGTTATTAGAAACGTTTCAATATAATGGGAAAGTGTTTGAGCACCTTCTTCAATAAAGGCATTTTTTTTAAATATCTCGTGAACTATAATTTTTTTGCCATGATAACTTAATAATTTTTTAAGTAGAATGAACAAAGAAATCGGTATATGCAATCAAAAGTATGCAATTCTATTTAAAGAATTATTGCAATTGTTAATTGCATATGCACTGATGCACTTAAGAAAGTCTAAAAACCAAATCTAAAAAATGAAGTGCTCTTCGAACCATTAATCTTCCTTCTTTGACATGTTTTCGTAAATGCATTAATAACGGAGTTATGACCTCAAACAATTGCATAGACCACCCTGTATATATATATATACACAGGGCGTTATCGCACCATTAGATATGTGACGATTCTGTGTGCAAAAATAAGTCGAAAAAAGGAATAATATAATATAAGAAATAATATTAAATATAAATTATTATTTACGAGAAAATCGTGTTTGAAGATGTGTAGATAATACGTTTATAATAACGTTAATTAACGTTATAATAATTATGACGTTAACTAATAATTAAAGTATTATATTCACATCTTCAAACTCGACTTTCTCATAAACAGAAAAATGTTCCTTTTTTTCGACTTATTTTCACATGTAGAATCACCACATGTCCAATAGCATCTGGTAACACCCTGTGTGTATATGTATATATAGATATATATAATATGATTTATAATATTATATATATTTATTTATTGTATCCAACTTTTTATATTGTGCAAGTGTTTCTTATTATTATCAATTCAATTAGAATATGATCTAATCCTGTCCCTCTTAATATTTGTCTAATATTCATTTGCACAATATACTTGTTACCTTTTTGTTTATTAATTTCTTATATACTTTATGCTAAAATTCTATATTGAATATTAAAAGCATTAATAACTTGTTCTATTTAAGCACTATTA